CTGACACGGAGACACTGGGCTTCCTCTGCACTCGGGCAATTCACTTCTCTCTCCCCTGGCAGATATTTGTATTCATTTCCTCAAACTGCCACCTACACAGACACCTACGCATGATGGCTATGGGAAAAACACAGCGAAACTGGGAATGAGAGAACTGGAACCCTGATCACATTCTTACTGGGGTCTGTTATTTGCCCAGCGTGTGTCAGAGAGGCAATTCTGGAGAAAATGCTTGGAAATGCCCCTCTAAACCAGCCCTCCTTCCCCTACACAAACAAGGTCTTTAAAACGTACTAACACCAATCAGCTACTGGCCTTATTGCAGGTTTTATGTATTTTTTCATCTGTGCTTGCGATTTTATTCAGTGCGTCCCTGCACCTTTTATAAATGAAGATAAAGTGGAGGATAATGTGCTTTGTAGTAAGCAGATAACTGCACTCACGATGGAGGACACAAAAGCCTTAGATTTGTTTCCTCTTTGCCTCCTCCTTCCTGTTTTGTGCATTCACTCGGCATTTGCTCTACCCACTCACCGTCCTCTGTTTTCTTCAGAGGATAAGAAACTCAAGGAGGTTCGAGCTGGAGCTGAGGGCTTAGTCAGTTTGAAAACAAGCCAGATAAAGCCACCCGCTCCTCCCACAGTCTTGCGGGGGATTTTTGCTACCACGCATCAACCAGATGTTTGCCACTTCCAGCCAGCGAGGCCACGCAGGTGGCCAAGGGAGACAGGAGAGCAGCGTTGAGGGAGGTGCCCTCTCAACTCTTACTGCGTGCTGTTTCCTTTTGTGACTGCAGCAAGGGCAGCGCCATACGTGATACAAAACCTCACGGATCTGGAGGTTAACATCAGCGGCAAGATCGTCCTGGAGTGCAAAGTCAGCGGAACGCCAGAACCTCAGATCACGTGGAGGAAGAACGGTTACCCCATCGCGGCAGCATCAGGTGAGCCTACCCGCTTCCCGAGCGGGCTGCGGTGTCACAGGTAACGCAGGATAAACACGGCACCTACGACTCCAGAGCTACTATGAGTGCGGCTGTATGGTACACACAACCTCTGGAAACACACACACAAATCCGAAAGTCTATCAGACAGCTGCAGTAAGTCTCCAGCCTGGATCATAGAATCATAGAACAGTTTCAGTTGGAAGATACCTTCAAGATCATTGAGTCCAGCTTTTGTCCCAGCCCTATCGACCCACTAACCCGTGTCCCTCAGCACAACATCCACCCGTCTCTTAAACCTCTCCAGGGATGGCGACTCAGCCCCCTCGCTGGGCAGCCTGTGCCAACGGCTGACAACCCTCTCAGTAAAGAAATTCTTCCTCATATCCAACCTGAACCTCCCCTGGCACGACTTAAGCCATTTTCCCCTTGTCCTATCACTTGTCTATCACTCATACAACACACTCCTAATCCTTTACCAGCTTGGCAGCCCACCTCTGTACCCTCTCCAGCGCCTCATTGTCCCTCTTGTGCCAGCAGCCAGCCCGCACGCATCGGCACGGCGTTAGTAAATCGAGGAGCACAGCTGGCTGCCGTCGAGCTGCCTTTGTGAGACAAAAGTTTGTGCACAAAACTGAGGCGAGGAGCGTACCTGCTTGTCAGGCGGGTCTGAAAGCACAAGCCTCAACTGTGAGAAATCCTTGGAGCCTGCACAGCAGCGCATTGTGGGCAGTCACCTACCAGAGAGGTCCAGGGCACATTGCCCAGCCTTTCTTTGTCTCCCACAACAGAGAAATGAGAATGTGCTCATGGCTTGAGCGGTAGAGAGCGGTGCAGGCACAGTGCTGCCACGGGCAGGGAGTGTGGGCTCCTTTACCTGAGCCTGGAATTGCATCTCAGGTCTCTGTCCTGACATCTCCTATAAATTATGGAGAATGCCATGTCAGGAGCTGGTCCTGTGACTTTAATTTTGCATCTTGGACTAGGTAGGACATCTAGGATCATCCATAATTCAGATCAGCCTGCTCCAAGAGAAGCTCTTTATAGCTACTGAAATTTTATAAATAATTCTAGAGGGACAAGCATGTAACTCATCCAACCAGTGGAAACATAAATAAAACATTCGGAAAAAACACCTCAGGGTAAATATTTCAGCACAGTGCATGGCAAGTTACGTGCAGTACTCTTGTTAACAACAGCAGGATTCGTAGGTAGAACACCTAGGAACTCAAAATGTCCTTCCCTTTTGGATTCAAAGCCTGACCTGCTTCCCTATTTCTGCCCCAAACGTATCCTTATTGAAATAGGTGAGCTCTCAGTTTTGTGCCACAAATCAGGAACAATTTAAATGTGGAAAATTAATCAGGAAAATGAAATGCAGAAAAGCCTCACATAAGTCACGTCCAGGCAACCTCCCTCTTCCCATTCCACCTTTAGCCCTCAGGTGCCCATGAATCCAGGATTGCTCCGGGCAGTGATTTTTCCAAGGATGTGCGTAGCCTGCTACCCAGGTTCCACATAGTAGAGCTCCCAACACCTCCCGTGGCCTTCAAGGCATTGGCTTTCTCCAATAATTTCACCAAGTTCCTTTTTTTCCCCCTCAGAGTATCTTATTGCTATCAGAAAACCTGTCTCCCCACCACTTCACTAACTTCCATTTTCTCAGGTCCTGTCTGCTCATAGTAAATTAACAGCCACATATGCTACTGGTTAAATGATCCCCCAGCAACTTACCCAGGGATTGAGGAGAAAAAAAAACATCAGGGAAAGGTTGTCGCCAGACCACAACGAGAAGCACAGTATTAAAATGCCTCCTAATCACAGCGCGTACCAGGCCTGCACGGATGGGAGTGAACCTTCAGTCCTCTGTCCCCTAAAAGCATTTGTAGGCAGGTGGGTTATTGTGGTAACATTAACCAAAATCCCTTACAACAGGAATTTCCATGGAAAATAACACCCTGGTCATTGAGCGAGTGAAAAAGGACGACGAAGGGCTCTATGAATGCAAAGCATCCAACGACATGGGCCAAGACAGCACCTCCGCCTTCATTAAAATACAAGGTGAGGTCCAAAATACGGCAAAATGCTTATATTATGTTGGACTGAGGAGAACTGTTTGTCAGTCATGGGCTTTTAAAATTTTTAAAATTTGGTTGTACATTTAACCTACAGGATCTGAGGAGAAATCCAACATCGAAGTGATCATTTTGGTCTGCACTGGTCTAGCCGCTACGCTCTTCTGGCTGCTTCTGACCTTATTCATTCGGAAACTGAGAAAAGTAAGAGAGCTTCCATATCGCACAAAAGGTCTGGGAATGGGCCATGTTTGGGATAGATGGTAGAAAAACTGTTCAAAATGTTCCGATTAAATTTCAGTCCAAGGTTTCTGCTGGTGGTCCTTTGACTTCCCAAGAGACCACTCACACTTGTGAGATTTCTACCCACTTCCACGGTACCCTAAAATCAGGCTTCTCCCTCTTGATGAGTTAAACTGGCTTGCAAGATTAAGAAAGTGAAAAAAAAATAATCTCCTAAATCTCCTAAAATACGGGCTTGATTTCAGCACTCATCCAACAAATTTGTCTGAAACATAGGTATTAAATGGGGCCTTGTTGTAAGGAAGATCCTAGGATGTTTGCTCTAGAAATTAGAAATTATTTTGTCTCCAAGTCTTGCTAATCTTCCATCTCCCTTTTATGACTCAAAAATATAAATTTTCAGGAAAGTCCCAAGGAGGTTAGGTCTGTTTTTCCTAAACCCAAACAACAATGAGAAAGGCAACCAGAGCTCCGTGCTCTGAAGCTCACCAAAGTACAGTTCCAGCGCTGACCCCCAATACTTGAGTAAAATTCCCCCTCCTATTGTGAATACAGTGATTAAATTATCCGGCCCAGGCCATTCTATGATTCTATGATAAATTAATGTTTTCCTCCTTGACCTAAGTTTAACAGAGTTGTGGACAACTGTGATTTTCCTATTATGTTCTGCTCCCGTGAAAGTCTGCTCGCAGGACCCACCAAATCACAGTTTCTCACTCAGCAGCGTTAGAAGCAGCAGTTTTCACCGGCTTTCAATCAATTTTAAATTGCAATAAGCCATGAAGCGGATAACTAGGGAGAATCAAGTGAGCGCTGTGAAAATGCCAAAATGCTCTGCAGTGCACCACGAACTGCAACTCGTGGAGTTCCCACAGAAAAGCACTGATTTCCTCTAACAGATACAGGTAGAAGACCGCGATAAATTTTGTGTCTTCAGGGTGTTTACCAGCATTAATTAGTGACTCTTCCCAACACCCAGGAGTGCCAGACATACATGAACATTTATTTCTCAGATATAAAAAAATAAAAATAAAAAAAAGAGAGGCAGGAAGCTGAAGTGATGTGTTCATGGTTCAGAATAAATTTCAGAGCTAAGTCTGGGACTCAGGGAACTCCCCAGTCAGCACTCAGTCTCGCAGACGACAGCTCTCTCCCATTAGAGCCGCAGGGTAAAGACTGTGAATAATTTCTCCACACCCTGTTTTTAGCCTGATGCCACAGATATTAAAACAGGATACCTGTCAATTATAATGGATCCAGAGGAAATGCCTCTCGACGAGCAGTGTGACCGACTTCCCTACGACAGCAGTAAATGGGAGTTCCCGAGAGACAGACTGCGCCTGGGTGAGTGGTTTGGGGATTACTGGTGGAAAGAACGACGATTTCTAACGCTCCCCAGTTTCAGTGGAGCTGTCGTATAACCCAAGATACAGCCCCTTGTTTAGTGCCATCCTTGGGGAGAATTGGCAGTGAGCCACAGAATTCAGGATCACCCTTAATGGGGGGTGAAACAAGGGATTTGGTAAGAAAAACAAAGATGATGTCTCTCTCAAAATAGCTTCCATCTCTTTTTCTTTCCTGGAGAAGTGAAGCCAAGCGCTTGGCACGGGAGAAAAGTACCTCCAGGTACTGCCCCTGCCAAAAGTAGGTTTTCACATCCAGAGAGGAAAAGGGAGAGAGAAGTCAATCTGAAAGGCAACAGTCTTTCAGGGTATTTTATCTTGGAGAAATCTATCAAATAACCAATTCCTTATCAATCATTTGAATTTGGCTTTTGGTTTTAAAGAGCTATCCTGAAAAAAAACAAACCAAATTTCATCCAGCAGCTCAGCTCACTGGATGATGGAGCAAGAAAATGTAAAAAAGCAGGTTCTGTTGGCATAGAGCAACAGTAACACCTGTGGGCAATGATGAGTCTAGGGACTATATCTGTATTTGTGCGTGCGCTTGGTGTTTTAGCTGGAAAACATGGAAGAAGGAAGACAAAAGTAACAAAAAGATGGTGGGACAAAAGGTCAAACTAGCCCCGTGTACTCTCCTGTGTTGTGGGTCAGAGCCCTCAGAGCACACTAGGTAAATACAGGCATGAGAATTCAAGTGAAAGGGAAAATAAAGAAAGATTATAATCTTAAATGCCATTTAGTATAGCTTTTATGTCAAATAAATGTCCATAACTGAAGGGTTAAAGGGTTCTGACGGCCGGAGTACCTTAGCTAGCTATCTCCACGATTGTGATCATGAGAGGTCAGGGTTCCACAACTCTACCTTTAACCCAAACTCCAACTTTTCCTGGGCTCATAGGACGAGCGTACGTAATGTTTTTACCCTTAAGCCACGTGTGTGTATTCAGCCTTGCCTTCAGCTGAATGCAGATTTGTTTATTCTCCTCTGTTCTCTCCCATACTGTATTGCATTCGAGTCATACGGATATAAATCACCCCGTTTATATCCATATGCTGCAAATATGTGATACAGGCTTCTATCGACTCTCGGTCTACGTTGTGCCTGGGCACTGGAGTCTTGTACTTCTTGCATAGCTGAGAATGCATGTTCCCCTCTGATCTGATACCGATTGTCGAAGTCCCCTTTGGCTCACTCTTCACTCTTGCTTCTCTAGGTAAAACACTGGGTCATGGTGCTTTTGGGAAGGTGGTGGAGGCGTCTGCTTTTGGCATTGATAAATCTTCAACCTGCAAAACAGTTGCCGTAAAAATGCTTAAAGGTACATATCATCCCTCTGAGATTCTCACCAGACTCCTCAGGGAACCTGCGGGCAATGAGGTTTCCAGTTCTCTGCTCCAAAGCGGTCCCAAGTTCATTGTGTTCAGAAGGGAGGGGGTTTGTCAGATGGGAGCAATTAGTCATTATACAGTGGATGTCAACACGCAGGAAATGACGAGCAGGCTCCATGCTGCGCTGCTGATTAAGTCTTGTATTCCTAGAGGAGGAAAACAGCAGCTTCCAGGTCTGTGGGGTGAGGAGGGAAACAGATTACAGAATGTAATTACATTAGATAGTCTGAAATTGGATCTAAGGCTTCGATCACAGCCCTTCCAGATGTAGAACAGTTCAAGGGGTTGAAAAAAGCAATGCCAAGGGAGTGAATTAGAGACAACTTGCTTGCAATTATTGAAATTAAGGAAAGTTTTTACCATTCAGTGGTGGAAAAGGGGGGAACTTGGAGACTCTTCTTTCATATCAAATTTACATACAAAGCCTTTGCAGACAAGTTATGAATAAATGCATCAGCCAGTACATTGACCACATGGGCTGGAGGTTTTTAACTGTTCATTTGGGATTTTTCCCAAGGTACAATCGCTGCTCACTGGACGGCTTTTCATAGCCCACGTTGCTCTGCATTGCTGCTGCATGACAGTATTAACCCCTGCAATGCCCTGATTCAGGAATCTCTATGGTGGTATTTGGCTTCTGTTGCCGGCTGCTGATGCTCTGCTGCTCCCATCTCTCTGAAATTTCAAAAACATCAGCTTATCATCTGTCTGGGCCTCCTCTGAAGCTGCTCTCTCTTTTCTGCATTAATCAGTAGATCTTCAGATCATCTCTCCTGCTGTTTCTTCCATTCCATGTCCATCTCCAGATCCTTGAAATATCCTAGAAGCCCCTGATCCAGACACACTCTGTTCTCCATCAGAAACCTACTGTCCTGGATAGCTCTGGGTTTTCACTCACCTCCACGCTGTGCTTCCCAACTGATCCTCATGTCAACTCTACCCCAGCTGCACATATCCAGCAAACTATTTGACAGTTCCTCCATCGTTTTACACCTTTCTCCCACAGTGCAGGCAGCAGCCTCCTGCTCTAACCTGCGCCTCCCAACTAACATGCCAGTAATTCATCACTTTGCTGAATAAAGCAGATTATCTAGCGTGAGTCAATCCATTCAGGGGGAAAAAAAAAAAAGTCTCTGGAGATATCTGCATTTCTGTCATTTCCATGAAGCAGGCTGGTATCAGTTTTGGGTTGAAGGCTAAAACTTAATGTGCGAGATTGTCTGAAATGCTTCTGAGGCTGCTCTGTTTAGATTTTTTCAGACGTGTTCCAGCTCATGCCAAGGCTAATCAGGGGTAATAACAGCCATGTACACACCCATCTACAAACACTGTTGACTGAAGAAATCTTGGGCTTGAAACAGCTCCTTCTTTATGACACAATTTGGTGAAAGATTTGTTTACGGAGAATTCCACAAACAGATATAGAGGTTACATTTGTCACACCAACTGATCTGTTATGTAACTGTTTCTTCACATTTAAATCTTACACGATGCAAAAGCAAAACCCCAGGAAACAGGCTGCAGCCCCTTTTGTTTAAAATACATCACCAGAGTTTTGGAAAGAAGGCAGAGGAAACAAGCCAACATCTGCAGAATGTTCTGGGCTGAGAGTGCCTTCCTTAGCTTTGGCAGCAACAGAGGCTGAAACTACAGCATCTCTGGCTAGCCAGTGCTTCAGCAAGTGTTGAGTTCACGGTTCACGTGCCAATACGACCTCCGCTGCTTTGCTGGCAAATGTTTTTCTTGGGTTGACAAGATCTCAAAGGGCTGAGACTTAGTAATGCTCTACATTCTCCAGTACATTTTGAGACTCGACGTACAGACGTGTTGGATTCCTCCAACACCTGCAGCGGAGGGTTGCTCAGAACTGTGGAAAAATCTGTTCTAAGGTGTTGTAAAGAAGCACTGCTAAACTGCATGTCACCGTCACAAACGGAGGAACACGTCCTTCTGGGTGGTGTGGTTGGTCGTTCCTTTGCAACGCTTGCAAAATTTTGTCCTTGCAAAGGCTCCCTGGTATCTCGTTTGGGGGGAGGGTTCTCCTGCTGGACAGTAACCCTCTGTAACCCATGCTGGAGAAAGGAAGAGTCGCACAAAAGATAAAGTGTTATCCCTCTTCATAAAGGTCAACAGACAATGAAACGGATGAATTATTATCTGTTTAAGAGTCTGAAAAGCAAAGACACTGCAAGTACCCTGGGTGGGTTTTGTTTCCAACTATAAACAGGATCTTGCCGTGTCCTGTCAAAAATATCCTGTTGTGTAAAGATCATTTTTTTCCTGTTTATCTTAAGCAGAATGTGCAACTACTAACGAATGCAAGGCTTTAATGTCTGAACTGAAGATCCTCATCCACATAGGACACCATCTGAATGTAGTCAACCTGCTGGGAGCCTGCACCAAAGCTGGAGGTGAGAAGTCCTCGGTAACTAGAGGAGCAGAGCAGAAACGCTTTTCAGATACCGTGGTGGTTGGATGTACCTGTCTGTGATGGAGCCCAAGTCTCAGGCACACGCAGTTTATGCAAGCACAAACATTTCTACCTCTCTGCTCGCAGGAGAGCTTCTGCTCCCGCAGAATATGGCCACATCGCATCCACGGTTTCTGAACATCTTCTCCCAGCCAGCGGTGTCACCTCTCTTTTTGCTTTTTCTCTGCACTTTGCCAGGTTGTTTACAGAAGGGGTTGGGACTGAAGGGAGGCAGGGTCCTTAACTGCAAATAGGTGCCCAATTCCTCCACAGCAGGCACTCCTGATCATTTCAAAGGTTCTTCTCCCTCTTCTCCGCTGCCTTATCAGGAGGATGCACAAGGCTGAGGGCTGAGCTGCTCGAGGCCTCCTCCTTTCAAGCACTTCACCCTTGCCAGGCACATGCAGGAAGCCTGAGGCAGTCCAAAGCTGCACAGAGCTACAGCAGGGGCTGAGCTGACACAACTGGCTGTGCATCATACAAAGAATCTGTTGCAAAGTGCAGACTTAAACAAAGGACTCCATAAATCTCAGGCCTTTGTGACTAAAACATCCCTTCCCATACTGCCATACAAAGCATCCTTATCTGTTACCGTATTGCGCTTTAACCTCAGGGTAACAACTCAGAGATGTCTCCTTACTGCCTACAATGACCCTTCAAAACAATTCCCAAAGGACAGATTTAGGAGACCTGAGGACAAAAAAAAAACCAACCCAAAACAAAACCAAAAACAACACAACAGAGTAAAATAAATGAAGGGGAAAGAGCGAGAAATGGTGCTCACATCTATTGTCATCTGAGACTTCCAAGCTCTCGTCTTCCCAAAGAAGACCAGTCAAGGGGGAAAAAAAGAAAACTTCAGTGAGGTAGATTTGGTAGGATGCCAGGAAAGAAATCTTCCCTTCAGCAAGAGACTCCCAGTTCCTCAAGGAGCAGTCAGGAACCAGCAGGCACAGATACTGCTGCGATCTGGGAGCCATGAACAGGGAGGCTGCAGGAATCGCCGTAGTGCTGCAGACCCCAAAACCTCATCGGGGAGGATGGTCAGCTTTAGCTGGAGGGGTTTAACACTCAGCTGCACGAGCAAGTAGCCTTTGCTTGGGGCTGTGAGTAGAGGGGAAGTAACATTAAGAATTCCAGTGATTCTCCTCTCCTGTTACGTCGATGATGTGGCTCAATACAAAGAGGTGCCCAAAACATGGCAGCATTTCTAAGAGGTCAGCAGTGTGGGACCAGACCTTTGAAGCTCAGACTCTTCAACGTGAATCACGGACCTTCTAGACAGAAAAAGGTTTCTGGACATGAAAGTCTGGTTGCTTAGGATTGAAAATAATACAATGTTTATATGCATTCTAGTCCCACAATTCCACCTCCTCTTCCATTTGATGATTACAAAAAGCAGCAATTACACGAAACGTAGAGACTGTAGCTTTTCCCTTTCCTAATAGCTCGCATTGAAACATAAAAGCATTTTGCAGCGGATCTTAAAAATATGCATAATTGTATAAAAGCAGCGAATTGCACCAAACTCTACAGTAGTGTGCACGGAAATAAGAAAGAAAGTGATACAACATCCTAGGCTTTCAAAAACTTCAGACTAAATACTTTTGCACTTTTGATTTAGGTCTCTCTATTACCCTGCATATTTTTATTGCCTCTAGCTCCACCCAAAACAAACGATTGTGAAGGCAGCAGAAAGACTCCTCCATGCTATGGATCTATGTATAGAGTAAAACAACCTTCATAGCACATGGGATCGTACATTGTTATTCGTCATTCTGAATTCTCTTCTGTTTATAAATAAGGAATAAACACCAACTGTTAACATGTAGCTGGGAAAACTAAGCATCAGTACTGAATTCCCTTCTCTCCACTATGGATTTTGTGCTTCTGCAGCGTCACTTCTCTGCTTCCTAATTTCCCCATCTGTATAACAGCAGTGACAGCATCTACTTCTTTTGCAGAGGCTTTTTGAGGATAACTTAGTACCAAGTGCTTTGCGGCGCTTCAAAACTCTTTTGACTTTTTTTTTAAGGTCCTCTGATGGTCATAGTAGAATACTGCAAATATGGAAACCTCTCCAACTACTTAAGAGGAAAACGAGGCGATTTCATTGCATACAAGGTAAAAAAAAAAACAAACGTGCTTCTTGCAGTCACAGGGCAGAGAATTAACAACCACTGATCACAGGTTGTGTAGGAGAAGGAGATTTTCCCAGTACAGTCACCCCAAATTTCCTTTCTCACCATTGTTTCTGTGAATTGCAGGGACTAGGTATGCCTCGTTCCCCAGGAGAGGGCGAGACAAATCCATTTCAGTGCACGTCATGCACATCCCTTGAACTGTGATTTTTAGCATGGTTTCCTAAGAAAGTAAGAGGTACAGAATTACAGCATCTGTCTGTCCATCCACCAGTCTCAGCCGACCAGCCTCCAGCTAACTTTGATGGAGGAATATTGCTATCAGTAAAACAGGTTCTATACTAATACATAGGAAGTGAGGCTCCATTAGTTCTGCTATTCAGGGAACATCATGTTCAAACACGTTTTCAGCTCCTCTTCAGAGGACACCTTCTCCATATGCCATTCTCTTGCATATTTTGAATCCCCAGCGTTGCATCACCCAAAGCTAAAACTCAGTTTTACACCATTTCTAGTCGCAGGACAACTCTGAGCAAGCAGAGAAAAGTCTGGATGAGTCCAACAGTGACTTGACCGAACTGATCAAGAGGCGCCTTGAGAGCGTAGCCAGCACAGGCAGCTCTGCCAGCTCAGGATTTATTGAAGATAAGAGTTACAGCGATTCAGAAGATGATGAAGAAGGTAAAAGAAACCTACCTAATCCCAGATCTTTCACTGTAAAGATGACCATTAATTGGCCAGTGCCACACACACTGCCACACACTTCATAAGCCCTTATGCAGTTAGACTTACTCCTGAAACCACAAATCCCTTCTCCTGCCTGTGCCCCACTCCAACTTTCTCACAAAAAAGAGATTTGCGGTCATGTACGCATATAGAAGCTGCTCCTGTCATGTAAGAGGAACAATAGCAATATTTTACCAGATGATTTGTGAGACCAGCCCGTCCCCAGCCTTGTCACTCGCTATAAACAATTCCCATCACTTTATCCCCAGACGTTGTTGTCCCCATAGCTAAATGACTCAATTAATCCGAGTTTCTGCCTCTAGGTCAGTGGGTCCTAAATCAGAGCTGTAATCCTGGCAAAGAACTCATGTTCCGATACCCAGATGCAGGGCTAGGGCCATCAGCACACAGTGCCAAAAAAAGTTTGGAGCTGTTGCTCTAGTGTTTCGCCATGTCTGTGATCTCTCCTAGATGCTGAGGATCTGTACAAGCGGCCCCTGACTTTGGAGGATCTGATTTGCTACAGCTTCCAAGTGGCAAAAGGCATGGAGTTCCTCGCCTCCCGAAAAGTGAGCTCCTTAAAACGTCAGGGCTGAACTTCTTTCGCAGATTCATGAGTGTCTGATACGAGGAAATCCAAATATACTTTTGAGTCTAAGTCATCTGCTTTTCGCTCTTATAAGTGTTGGAGATCACATTAGCCCTGGTGCTTAAGCCATAAGTGGCACTGAAGGAGCTGTGAAGGAATATCCATCATGTTCTTGGCTACAAGGACTGGCACCTGTAATATGAGAGTTTAGGTAGCAGTGAACACAGATTGTAAGACAATTTGTGGAACTGTCTCATAAATAAAAGTGGAAACGGCTTCTCATAGAGAAAGATTCTTCTAGTATGGTCAACAAAAGTACTACTGAGAAATGAAGAGTGAGTCTCCAGCTCTTCATTTAGCCTGTCAGCGATGTTGGAGGCTATCGGTAAAGTTAGCACACCTTTTGGATACAAACAGAAAAAGTTCATTTGCAGCCTGTGGAACGCTTGCTTTTCAAGTAAATTGAATGTGATATGCATGCCAAAGTATGCAGAAAACTGAGAGCCTGCACATCTACCAGGGTAGAACACACAGAAATCGCAAGCACTGTTAACCCAGCGTAGCTGCAGCTGCTTTTTGACCCCTCCCAAATCTCCCACAGAACAATTAACTGGAATACGGCACTCCCTTCGGCTCATCGTAACTGAGAAAGTTATTCCACATAGAAAAACCAAAAAACTAACTCTAACATACTTGACTCATCTTCTGATTTGTATATGATTGTGTATTTTCATCAAGATACCCACACGCATTTTCCTTCTCCAACCTGCTCACAACAAAAGTTCATTTATCTTTCCATTTCCAAAGAAAGTCTCACACTTTCAGCCCTAGCAGGGGCTGGTTGCCCAGGCAGACCCTCTGATGGTGCTTGTCCTCATTCCTTCACAGTGCATCCATCGGGATTTGGCAGCCAGGAACATCCTTCTTTCAGAGAACAACGTGGTCAAAATCTGTGACTTTGGACTAGCCAGGGATATTTATAAAGACCCTGACTATGTACGGAAAGGAGATGTAAGTGGAAGAAAGTTAAAATTTTGATTCCTTTGAGGTTTGGGCTGATCAGTAACAACAGCTCTGGCTTCATGTTGTGTCTTTTCCATTCTCAGGCAAGACTTCCACTCAAATGGATGGCTCCAGAAGCTATTTTCGATAAAATTTACACAACGCAGAGTGACGTGTGGTCTTTTGGAGTGCTGCTGTGGGAAATATTTTCTCTAGGTAAGAATGGTTTTAAATCCTTTCTTCCCCCTAATTTATGGCTCTACTGCTAAGAAAAGCTTTTAAGAAAAGGTGATAACGCGGTGTTGTGTTTCTACTTCAGTTAGTGCAAGCGCACGCTGCAGATAAGGTGTAAAATTGAGTCACTGGGCTGAAGTCAATGAGCACTGCACCCGGCAAAGTACATGAAAACAGCGAATACTGGGGAGGGGGGAACAAAACAAAACCCAAACCCCCAGACCTAACATTCCTAAAAACTGAAACCAGCAGAGCACAGAGATAACACAAACCTCTGGTGCTCAGGAGTGAAATATTTCTTTGAGGGCATTGAAGAAGTTGCCCTGTCAAACCGTACTTCCCTCCAAACTGCTTTGCGAAACCACGCGGCTCAGAGACCGCAGAGGATCACGCCGCTGTTGACGGGGTGGTCCGACATTCCCAGCAGCCCGTACAACACGAGGGAGTTTGCCCATATGACATTTTACCCCAGCTCGATTATCTTCCCCACAAATCTAAGCTTGATTTTTCTAAGTAAGAGAAACGTGTTGGCAGCAGCTGCCATCAGGTTGATAGGAGAAGCAGTGCTAGACTGTGTAAGTCATTTTGGCAGCAAACAGGTAGAACGCACACTTTCCCGGCCATATCATTTGCAAGCCACAATATTTTTGAAAGAATACGGATGGTGTTCTTTGAGTACTATAGATTTCACCTGACGGTGCTGTTAGAAACCTCAGCCTCCCTGAGATCTGGTTACTGTCCAGCAGATAAAGCCCTGAAATTTAGACAAGCGGTCTTACAGACAGTTGGAATTTGCCGCTCTCAAATTCTCCCTGCAGAGTGGCAAGTTTTGTTTTCCTGGGGGAATTTAGGAATGTCAGCTCTGGCTTTTTAATCAGCGTTGGCAGACAAAAGAAAACAAGAAGCATTGTCAACTTAAGCTGCTGAATTTTAAAGCAAACTCTGTAATCTCCTACTATCTTTGGTTCGTGGATCAGCTGAAATTAAAATGCCAAGTCCAGATCTGGATGCAAAGTCTGAAGCTGTTTCTATCCTAATCCTTATTTAGAGTTGGCTGCAAAGATCCTAACCTGATCTCAGTCCAAGTCTTGGACTTCTCTCTAGTTCACATCGGCACGCAAAACAGAAAGTTCACGCTCAAATAGCAAAAACAAGCGGCAGTTAATGCTTTCTCCAGAGCTCAGTCCTATTTATTTAGCATTTTATATTTTGGCGCAACACCTCCGTGGCTCTGCAACAGCATCACCTGCTGCACGTGTTTTGAAATACCAGAGAAAGACAAAGCTCCAGAAGCCCCAGTTCTAACAGATTATTCAAGAAGATGCATTAGCACGCAGAGACGTGCTCCGAGGGGACAGCTGGGCATCTCCAAGGAACCCAGTGAGCTGAGCACAGACGAACGGCGAGGAATGCAGCAGAAGGCAAACTGTTTATATCGTTCCCAAAGGTCCTGACAGAGCTTAACAGATGTGAACTTCAGGTCATTGGGCCTTTAATACTGAATGCTCATAAAAATTAAAATATTACTGAAACACATCTTGCGCTATTTTTAAAAGTAATCTATCCGGTTTCTTTTAATTTTAGATAGTGTCTTTTCATAACAGAGGTGCTTACTTGGAACAATAGACTGTCCTCTTCTGAATTCAGAGGAATCTACTAAATTACTCCGAGGGCTGCCATCTGTAGAGCAGCCTCTGCCCTCGTTATGACGTAGATCACAAACTACTTTCTTCAATCCGTGGCACAGATTCAAAAGCAGTCATTTTCTCTAAGAGGGTTTTTCATACAGATCACCCAGGCATGTCTGTGGTTTGGCACTACTCGCATCTGCAGCTCACACGATAAATATTTAATTAAGGATTTGTGTCACTGATTGAACTCTCTTATATAAAAGTTTTACAGATCATTGAGAGCCAGAGGATGGAAGTTATTTGTCGTTGCTACAGGGTATGTTTTGGCTCCCATTTACAGCTGCTGCTTTTTCACTGGGTCCCGCAGACTTAGCACCCTCTAAAACAGGAAAAGATACTGATTAGCCAAATGCACCATTAAGTTTAGACATGGGTCCTTTCAGAGCCAGAAGTCAAATGAAGCACAATAGGCCTTTTCCAGAAAGGCTGACACTCTGGATCTCTTTTGGTGACACCCAGGGAAATCAGGACTTGAGAGACTGTTAATTTTCATTTGGGGCTGAGTTTGTCCAGAGCTTTGCCTTATTGCAGTGGGGTGAGCACATCTCCCGTCAGGTGACGCCAGCAACGGTTAATCCATCTTGAAATCACTTACAGGGCACTTTACGGAACGTTGGTGTCTCCTGGAATTTAAACGTGCACTGTTCAAAAAGCAATCACAGATAATTATGTAAACAAGCAGTGCCTGGCAGGATAACATCAGCATCTTATTATCCTACTAAAGTAAAAGCAAGATCAAACGAGTGCTACTATATCCAATGCATGCCACATCTTTGAGCACTTTGGAAGAGATTTCCCCTAAGGGAAATGTCATGTGTAGACCTTACACCATATGTTTCAGTCTACATTTCTCCCAAGCTGTCTCATCATCCCAGATCCAAGTTATCTGGCTTATCACACGGTCCAGATGAAGCACAACGGTGAGTGGAGGGGGAAAAGGCAGAGCTCCTTGCTTTTATGATCTGAGCTGCCTCCAGCTGGTAGGAGGCCAGCACCAGTCAAAATATAAATTAACAAAAGATCTGGCAATCAAGAATTACTCTTCTTTGCCTTCACTGTAGTTGCTTTCACCAACATCTTGCAGTTGATATGAGCAACGATGGAATCAAGGAAAGATAACTTAGATTGTGAGACCAAGTGGAATTCTCCACCTCTTCTCATGCAATTCTGCCACACTGCCCTCCAGATCTCAGTCCTGATCAATGTATTTGCAAGACAAATTCTTACCAATAACCTCTGCTCTGCTCATGAGCAAGAAACATTCTTAATACTGTGATCTAATACGTGCACATAAAGAAAATTTAGATCCACTGTGGCTGAGCGTCCAGAGCTTTGTTGAGATGCCCTCTTAGGAAGCTGCCAGAATCTTTGCTCCCCAGCGCCTGCTTTTGCAGACTGAGTGGTCAGATTCACAGAGTAGATTTCTGGAAACGGCCACGTTTTGGCACCCTCTTCATTGCTTTTATCCAAAAGATTTCTGCCGTGCTTGTTGTGCCCCCAAGTGCACAGCACATGATGGTGTTTCCAAACAGAGGAAAAAAAAAATATGCGGGAAACAGGCAGGAATGTTAGAGATGGTAAATCATATCCAGATTCCATTCAATCCCCGATGTTAAGACTTGATTAAATTTTTCTTTTTCTAAATTCACCATCCAGCCTCTAGGATGCCAAAATGCGAAAGACAAGGGGTTGCTCTGCATGTGAAGTTTTGACTGAGAAGGAACAGAGGAAAGCTTACAGATCTTTCAGGTCTATCCACAGCAGGTTCAGTAAACTTCCAAAATTCAGTGCAGGCATCTCTTGAGTTTTAACTATAAGGTCTGGATTACTCAGATGCCAGAGCACTTGCTCCAATTATATATTTGTCGCCCTTGTTTATGGCACATCATAAAGTGCAGATGTTACACAACAAAGACCACAACCTCTGAAAAGCCCCCACTTGCTCATCGGTTGAAGAGCACGTTCAACGCACACGTACATTTATCCTTCTGCAGACAACCCCTGACCCTGGAAAGTGAAATAAGTCTCACTCCTTTGTTTTGATGATTGCTGGGCCAGCTTGTGTGGAGGTTAACGTAACGCTGCTGGTCCCTTCACAGAAGTTGCCAAGCAATTACCGTTGCCATGAACTGTCCTCTCCGGGTTCACAGTAACAATTGAGTGGCCCGGAAGGTAAGCAGCACTGAATGCACCCTCAGAAAAGAAAACAAGGCTAAACGTTTGGAAGATCATTTTTCAAGGAAATTTTAAGAGGGCTGCCACACCACATACACAACACTAAACTGGTGAACTTGGAGAGGGGGACTATGATTGCACACCTGAGGCTGAACCACTGGGTTCTCATGGCCTTTCGCCTGCAGCTTTCTCTGTGCTCACTCACAGAGGCCAGAGGTTCTGAGGCAGTGAAAGATGAGCAGGACTGACTTACTTCATGTGCATTCACTTAGTGCAGGACATTGGCAGACTGACAATTTGGAAAACAGTATGCAACCGATTGTATGAGCTGGAACTTTTCTACCACCGACCAAGGGGTCATTTAAAGTCTCAAACTAATTGAATTTATTTCTCTTCTGCCATATTTTACCTTGGACTGGCCCTGGCTATATTACAAATGCAGAAGAGAGAACATGATTGAAATCTCCGAAGAGACAAAACACGCAGATAATAAGTGACTGCAACCCCATCTTTGCTCCAGTTTCTTTTACTGTCAGGCTCTGGGTAATCTCAAACGCTCAGCAGAAATCACCAACATGTGTTTAATTCACTGGACTGGGAAATGCAGCTTGTGCCCTTCTGAAGCCTCCTCATTTCTCCCCCCAGGTGCCTCCCCATACCCTGGAGTACAGATAGACGAGGACTTTTGCCGACGGCTCAAAGAAGGAACGCGGATGCGATCTCCGGAGTACTCCACTCCAGAAGTGTAAGAGCTCCTGCTCTTCTGATGAGAGCTGGTGCATGGCATTTAAGTGTAGCAAAGGAGACTTTATTCTGTTTTCAGTAAATGTTGCAGTTATGGGTATCTGGGGTGTCCTGATGCCACAGATGGGTACTAAAGACAGAGCCAGCTTGACCTTGGCCAACAACAGGATCAACAAATCTTCCCACATCAGCTGTGGTTCATGAGTCTCAGTGCAGGAGATGATTTCAGTTCTGTGGCAGAAACTAGCCATCTGTAACTACGACTTATTTCAGCACTACCAGTGGGGCCTATCAGTCCAATTTTAAGTTGGGTGAAAATAAAAAGCCTACAGGCTCAGTTGAGGTAGAAATACAGAAGGAAAAAGCATCTGACATTGAAACTAGAATAGAATTTCAGCGTCTTAATCCAAAACTATCTGAACAGTGACCAAAACAAGCAGCAGCAGAAAGAAACAGTTTGGAAGTAAAGCTCTGATCCTTTTCCTTTCTTAACATCTCTGGTTTTTATCTAGTTACCAGACAATGCTGGACTGTTGGCACGGAGTACCCACCGAGAGGCCGACTTTCACGGAGCTTGTGGAACGCTTAGGAGATCTTCTTCAAGCCAACGTACAGCAGGTACAGCAGTACAAACATTTTTTCAACAAACGTGCCCATACAGATGTACGCGGATGTGGATACGTGTATGTGTGTGCACAGGTAAACGCCGCGTCGAGTGGCAATATTAGATTCGACTTCATAACAGAGGTCATGAGGAAAAAAAGGCTGTGGGGATGAGTAAAGGAAATGTTAACTATCCAAAGGGGATTATATTTCAATACTAGCTGTTTATCCACTCATAATAAGCAGAAGCTTGCATTGATTAAAAAAATGCTGAGTTACCCCTTAGAGGAACAATAGAGCTTTATCTCCCAAACAATTTTAATTAGATTCCAAGACAGTAAACTGCCAGTAGTCAAACTGAACTTTCTCTCTCATTTTCTGAGCTTGTGTTCATCAGTGCTCTTAGGAGCTTTAAAATGATGCAGTTTAAAGCTCAGAAGTCAATTATATAATTATTAATTTCATGATAGTCAGATCAGTTGTTTTCTTCTTCAGTAAAAACAACCAGACCAGTTATGTAACTGTCTATTTAATTTAAGATGAAATCAAATACTCTCCTCCAGCTCCTTGGTGTTTGTAAACAAATTTAGTCAAGCTAAGTTGAAGAGGGCCCAGTTTGCAATATCAGGAGCTTGTGGGTTTATCTTATAACCACAGTAAATTAAGGAGGCATAAAAATCATGATAAGGGAATAGGGCACTTAACTGCTTCTCAAAATTAAAAAAAAAAGTCAAGCAAAGGGAAATCTGGACAAATAGTTTTAGGACCTTAAGGAAGAGTCATTTCTGAAGATTATTGCAGGGCTGTAATGACAATGCAGAGCTTATTAAGATGTGCGCCAAATTCCATTAAACCTGAAGCATCAATTACTTGCGAGGACAAGAAATAAAATGTTTTAAGACCATCATTTTAAGGACTGGCTCTTCCTAAGCTGCAAGTCCTTAAGTTGAATATAAGCAAAGTCTGCACACAGGCAATATGCTTTTACCAATTTCAAAATATGCTGAAGTCGCATCAGCCATAGGCGTTTTGCGACTTTGTGCCATTGCCTCCCTTCTCCCAAACACGCCACTTCAACTTGGATTTAGGTGTCCCCGAGACCGATCCCTCAAAATTCCCAAAGCGGCTGACACAGCAACAACACCACAGAGAACTGCTTTCCTGAAGTGCAGGTCGGTGAAATTCTGTTCACCTTCCCTGAGACAGAACACCCACACACCTGGAACACAGGAATTAACGATCACACGGAAATCGCTGCAAACTCATCCCAGATGTTGCTGTGAAAGTCATCAGAGGCAGCTACTTTGAAAATGGCTGCACAGATACCGACACTCTCCATATGCTGTGCCATATCGAACACCATCAAGTTAAACCAGAATCTAATCCTTTCTCAGTGTAAAAACTCCATGGAATATGTTTCACAGCTAAGGTGCAGCACAAAATGAACTTTCCCATCTTTGTGTTCTCTTATATTATTGATTACACAGGATGGCAAAGACTATATTCCACTGAACATCACCTTGTGCCCTGATGGAGAACCTAACTCCAAAACTTGCCCCGTGGAAGAAAACGTGAGCAACTGTGTTAATCGCTGGAGTGCAGTGGAAACTGGGTGAGCAAAAAAATACATGGGGGCAGGAGGGAAAGAAAGATTTGATCTCACTGGGCACTGTTGTCCTCTCTCAACATGGCTCTTCTAAAGGAGTTGGACACATTTATAAGGGTGCTGTTTGTTAGTTACCAGAGATAAAAAATGGAAATAGGTCCAGGAAACTCAGCTGTGTCAGGGAAGTGAATTTAGCTAACAACTGGTGCAGCATCTGCTTGGGTTTTGTGCTGACCCCTCGACTTTCTTGCTTTCAGTAACAACAGCAAGAAGCGCCCACTGAGTGTGAAGACATTTGATGAAGTGCCAGTGGAAAAGGAGAAAGTGATGCATGAGGTAAGTGAGGTGAGTGCATCCTTCTCCAGCAGCTTCACAGATCACTTGTCACCAGCACCAGAAACACTTACAGCTTTTGAAATCTGTTTGGTAAGAAAAAGCTTTAAATCAAGCAGAAGATTCAGCCCTAGCATCTCACAAGTAGGTCTGTGTGACAACAGAAGGACTTGCACTTAGGAGAACAAATAATCTAAAGAGAAGCTCATGCATGATTATGCTGGCTTTGATCGAGCTAAGGGGCTGTATATCACAGATTTCAATACTTTTTTTGCACCAGAAGAAAATTGAGCCTTTTAAAGGAAATGTGTCCAGAACACATTCTGGCTGGCTGCGACAGCCAATAACTCGCTGGTGGTGAGCACGTTCAGTTCTGGACAGACAAGACCAAGAGTCAAGTTCCTGCTCTACTTGATTCACACAAAGGGCTTTAAACCCTGGATTTTCCTCGCCCTAAACGAACGCATGCATTGCCGGTTTAACGGTGTGCTCCAGCCAAGGCTCACTCTTGGACAGACAGCCAGTCCTCAGCCCAAGTCTCTTGGGAAGGGTCAAGGCTACAACTTGTCCTGAACATATTTCATGTCCTTGACAAATATAACGTATTCCTCGCCCGTTCTCTTTTTAGCACAAAGTGATGCCCATTATTCCCCAGTATTTTGCCAAATGTAATTTCCATGCCTTTATCAGTGCATCTTAGGGATTAGAAGGCTTCAAATTTTCTCTGGCTCCTGCACCTTTCCTCTTGCAGGCTACAAATCTGTTCCTTTGAATCATACAGAGACATTTACTAAATAGATCCAGTATCAGTAAGAGATTACTGCTGCCAGAGTCAGCATTATTTCCCTATTCATGGCATTTTAAAGCAAGTCCTTGCACGACAGGGGAAAAATTTCAAAAAAGGGTAATACTGCATTGACAGATCAGAAATAAATGTGGTATTTCAGTGGGGATCTTTTAAAGGAAAATTATGGTGTGATCTACTTTTGGACAAAGAAAGTGCACTTGAGTTACTAAAACCCTCTTAAATACCAAGAAGTTAATACTGATTAGGTCATTATTTCAAGCAGTTGCCCAAGAACTCTAAAAGTGCTCCACCACACCTTCCTGCAATTGTGCTACTTATCTGTAGCCCTGTTGTTACTCTTTCAACAAATCTTCTGTGAGCAAAATGCAGAGCAGCGCTCAGATAAATTGTTTCTAGACCACTTGTTTTAAAGAGAAATCATCAAGACAAAAACCAGAGCGCAAAGCTCGGTTCTACTGAGGTTTTGACAGACTTGATTAATGTAGAATTTTGCTTTTTATTTAATGTTTGCTGGGTTGTTTGGTTTTTTTTTTTTTTTCCTATTTCAATCGATTTGACTGGTAAAATAAGACTAACTAGAGTTTCGCTTCCAACATGGAAGTCTTTTGCTTGCTTGGATTTGACAGGGAAACATGCAGCTTTCCAGCATCACAACATTCTTCAAATGCAAAGGAATTCCCCAGAAGACTTATTAGTTTTTTTAATTACTTAAAACAAGGAGCGTGCATGTCTGTGACCTCATGTGGCACTATCACAATACAACTCAATCTTACTTGCAACCTTTAGACTCAACTTTAAACGCAGCAAAATCACCACCTCAACTTTAAAACTACTCAAGACAGTTTCATTGGACAGGTCATCCGAAAAAACAAAAACAAAACAAAACAAAACACAAAGTACAATGAGCCTTTTAGGCTCTGCATCTTTTCAAAGCATTTGGATTTGCCAAAATGCTACTAAACTTCCACTTCCTTAAAATTTCAATGTTTCCAGTAGCATATTTCTAGTAGGTACTTAGGGTACTTTTTCTCCGAGGAGCCTAGCCAGTATTACTGGATATATTCTTTATGAATTTCTGTCTATTCGTATCTCAGCTCTCCTACCTAGATGGCATCCATATGTCATGCTTAATAACAATTTCCAGTTTGAAAATGTCAAATTATTTTTTGATACATTCATTTTAAGGGTGCTCTTTCAAGATACAGCTCAAAAATTCTGTCACCACAAAAACAAAGCAAATGTTCTCAGGCTAAATAGCAACGTTATCAGGAACAGCTGGATAAAAATGGATAATACAGGCCTTGATAGGAGAATACTCTGAAGAATGGGCTTAACATCACACACCAAGTGGATATGTGTGTTATTAAACATTCTCCTGCCCTTGCTTTCTCTGCTCTGGAGCCGGAGACAGTGTTGTAAGGTGAAATTCTATCAGCTTGCCTAAAAGTGGTATAGTCACAACATAAAGTATCTGGAATTTCGTATTCTAACCCTTGGCTTTCCTTCTCTACTGACTTTAAGAGTGGATGTTCTGACTCTTCTCCGTGCTCTGCCCATGGAAGCCGTTTCTAATTTAAAAGTCCAGCCACGACCACTTGGCGTTCTGCTGATGTTGTGGTTTGTTTTTTTTTTTTTGCTGCCCAGGAGTCAGACAGTGGAATGGTGCTGACCTCAGATGAGATCAAAAGCCCAAAGAGGCTGGAAATCCGTTCTTGGCCTTACGGGATCATGGCTCTAGCGTGAGTACTTTTTTGGTATTTCTTTTTAGGACAGAACAATGCTTCTGAAAGTTTCATTTTTGTTTCCCATGCCAAAAGGAAAACTCTTCAGACTATCTAAACAAGCTAGAAGGAGAAGCAACTCTACATTTCAGTCCTGTAACCGAGAGATTATGGTTAACGTATGTTAAGATCAGGAAAGTTACAACGTAGACTTTGCTTCCAGAATAAGAGTTGAACATAAAACAGACTTGCAAGTCTCTGAAAGGAGGTCTTCACCTTCCTAGAAAAGTATAACAACAGTAATGAGTTTTCCAGGTTCAAATGCTGATTTGCAGGATTTCAAAGAACAGCTACCCAAAATACTTAAAAAGGAAACTTTCTGTACCATGGAATTCCATGTGGTTAATTAAACTAATTAGATTTCTACTGAATTGCCTAGAATTTTCTGAAATCTATTGATGAGATTTCCGTTAGTTTTCTCGGTATGAAATTCAATGATCTTTCCCAGCAGAGCAATTGCTTGTTTTACATCAAGTCACCACTTTTCTAAGTTAAAGAGAAATGACAGGTGAGGAAAAACTAGTACATTTTCTGCATAGCAGGGGAGAGTTTGCATGAGAGAGTGTGCAATGAGAGTCTAACGGTATTTCAGAGAGGCTAACTCCCTCACTCAAAGGGAAAAACAAGACGGAAGGAGCTTGCCTTGTCTTTTCAGGCCTTAAAACCACAAATTCCTAGATATTTGAAGATAGGAGAGAAGGAAAAAGAGGAAAAGGGAAAATGTTACAGAGGGAAGGCTAGAGAGCATGGCAGCATTAGCAGGGAGCATTCAAATGCTGCAGATTCTGCTGGAGAGGAGTGTGACTTCAGGAGTAATGTCATTCAGCAGTTATTTCCCCTGCAGTACCGTCCCGGTGTTGTACCTGTTGGGGGATTAGCAGAGATCTAGATACTGGTCTGTGTTTTTATCCTGTGCGCCTGCTGAGAGGATTTCTGCACCCTGCATCGCTATGGAGACCAAATGGCACCAGCTCTAAAAAAAAGGAACTCAAATGTCAGGAACTGCATTGCTATGAAGCTTTACCTGAGCTGATTTACCTCTCTTTTTTTGCGCGATGTCATGTCGACAGAAATCCAACACGTATACACACAGGCACAGCCTCCCCAACAGGATTTATCCTTCTGAAGATTTCTGTCCATCACCTCCGACTGCAGTTTCCCCCGCTGCATTTCCCCCATTTGGATAAATAGCTAGCAGAGGAAGGTTCTCTCTCTCCCCCTTGCAGGCTTTCTGCTGAAAATCAGATAAATCAACATCCAGCCAGATGCAAAAACACAAAAATCCCATAAGAGCTTGTTCTGAGATTTCCAGGAAAACCTGAACTGCTCTCGGGCCCCTGGGACTGAGCACAAAATAACGCGGCTCTGCTGGGTTCAGCGACTCTCTCCGGCTGACCCACCCCTCCCCAGGGACACTTCCATGGGGATCCCATTCGTCGCAGGATACCTGAGACTGCCTGTGCCAGCCAGACCGCGAAAGACCATCTTAACGGTGGTCTGCTCTAAAAGCAAACACTACAGCAAGCTGTGCTTGTCGTCTCCTTATTCCTGGGACCCAAGCTACCACCAAACACACAGAGGTGTGTTTTTTCTTGGCCACATCCTTCATCGAGTATTTGAGATCCAGCTGAGAAAGCTATTTTTTCAGCCTCTTTATCTATATATCTTGCAGACTATCATTGGCACAAATAACATTTTTAACATCGTCGCAGAGCATCCCGACGACCTCTTGTTTGAGGACATGACATCCCTTGGTGCTTCTGCACCGCTAACTTGAAAAACAAGCCTCAAAAGCATGTAATAGCCTAGGAGAGGTCAGAAGAGAGTGCTGGTTTAATAGGGGAGATAAAGACACCCTTGTTAATTGTGTATCTCTCTCTATCAAAAACATTTACCCTGGCTCCTTTTCAAACAGTCTTTCTTTTCTAAAACAAAACTGTTCAAAGGCTTAGCATGTTTTCTAAACCAGGGTTGCTGCATTTATTTTCTTGGCCCAAACCTTGCTGTTTATTTATCTTGTATTCATTCCTCTGTTGAGTTTAAAATTTGGCAACACTACACACCACCAAGTGTCAGTGTCAAGAGTTTATTGAAGATGAATCTGATACTCTGGGCCTGGAACCACTGTTAGACCAGACTAACCATTTCTGAGCTCTAAGCATTTTATACCACTCAAGTATAAAGTCACAACAGTAGCTGTAGGGAGAGACAGAAAGATTGACCGGAATAACAACACTGGAGTTGGCGTTCAAGGAGGCGTGTTCAACACGGAGGGGACTTAATGACGAGATGATTCTCACGTCAGGTTTCCTCTCTAATACTAACGAGCTACTGCCAAGCACCGCTTTAAAATTCTCCCAAAGTCTCTATAATCAAGTTATTGTTTAAAATTATAACCGATTTGATATCTGCTCTGTTGTGCTCCCTCCGTCTCTTTAACCCAACACCCTCAGGTGCTCTCAGATCACTTCTCTGGTTCTGGCCAAGTCCCACAACACCAGCTGACACGCTCTGGGCTCCAGACGCTGCGTCCAGGTCGTGTCACCAAGGGCTCTGCTTTTGCCAAAACCAAACTGGGCCTCAGGCAAGTCAGTAACATCCAGACAAACGGATTTTGCCGAGGAACATTGGGCATTCATGTCCAAACGCAAGGTGCTCGACAAAAACACAACCCAGCTGATTGGGCTGGAATCCTTTCGCATCTCCTCAGAAACATGAGGCGCAGAAATAGGTCTGGTCCATAGCAGAACTTAGGTTCAGATTTTCCTTCTGTGATGAGCACGTCGAGATAGCAAATGGACTTACCGATGTGTCATGCGGCACCTGGCACTGTCACCTGGCTTGAGCTCTCTAAAATATAAGTAACTTGGAAGGGATGGCTAACTGAGAGTTATGTAAGCCACTTTTTGTGGGATTATACTATATGCTTATGGTGGCAAGGCCTAAAAGGAGAACTGTGGAAGGCTGTGGTCCCTGGCATGTTTTTATCTGCAGTGCTTTTCATCTCACTGCATTTTGAGTGCTGGTGCTGCTGACGGGGCAGCTGACCAGTTTTGCCACACATGCAAGGGGATGCAGACTTAATGAGCGGGTGGCCCTGGCCTGTTAAACCTTTATGTTCACTGTACTCATATTCAGAAGTGCTTCAAAACAACCAATTCTTGATTGTAAGCCCATGTCCATAGACTACCGAGGCACTGATGCTGCCAGAGGGAAACCCAGGACTGAATTCTCACCACACAGCACCCTCTCTGAAATGTATTAAAGCAAAATGAATCAGTCATAGCTATCAGAAATAAAAATAACCCTGTATTTCTTTCATTCCATAAAAACTTTAAAAAAATAATCACTCTTACTCTGCGCCTCATTAAACACCTATGAAAGCTGTTATAAAGCCCCAAAGTGCCTACGTGTTATTATGAGATGTCATCATGAGACAAAGTGCTCCACTTGGCAATGCTCACCCCAATTTCTCATCTTTCCCTAAACACAGATCCTGAACACGGCCAGGAGTTCTACACAGACACAATAGTCTATTAGTTTTTCCCATTAAAGGCAAGATACTTGGGCATCTTATTGCAAAGCAGTAAGAGCTGCTGGGAATAAGTGTTAGACTTGGTGCTGCAGTCCCTCACTGGACACAGTGATTTTCTTGCAGCCATCTCTTTCTCTGCGCTCCTCTTCAAGCTATTTACTCTGAGATTCAGGCTTTTAGAAACTGGCTCCCTCTCATATAAACAAAATTGGCTCCATTAGTGATTTCCCAGCTTTTGGATGATTTCAGTATTTTCTACCTCTAACCAAAATCTCAGGTTCATAAGGTAGGATGAAGAAGTCTCATAAGGTCCTTTAGGTTGACACCTCTCCAGAAAACATAAAAAAGATTGTGAAAGATTACCTAATATTCAGGCTAGCTTTTCCTCCACCTAGTTTAACTCCTAGACTTCTAAGCTTCACCTCTACTAAGATATCTGACGCAGCACAGCATTCTTCTCAACTTCTAATATTGGTTCTTCCAGCGCTTTTGTTACCTTTGTGCTTCTCCCATAAACGTCCCCAGCCTGCAGGTATCTTTCTGAAAGCAAGCAGCACAGTGCCGCGCCTCGGCTAACTCCGCTCTCGGCCCACGAAACAAGGCTGCAGCCAGCTCACCACATTCTCCACAACAAGTTTCCCCAACCATCACTCCACGGAAACGTGCACGTTACGAAAGAGGGTCTTGTAGGTTACAAAATCTGTTTGAGGGCAGAACACGGCAGTGGTTCAGGTTCTCCTTCCCCTCATCCAGCCGCAAAACGGTTCTTGCGAGGACAAACGAGTTTTCACGTTGGTCATTTTGTAAAATGTGATCAGCTCGGGTCAGCGAGCAAATGTGTTTCGCATGAATGTCACGGTATTTACATGCCCAGTCTTCAGTATTGCGCCGTGGTGAGAATACTAACGGGCAAGTGGGACTGGGCTGAGACACGCGCAGTTATGAGCAGATTTATCACAAGCGAACATCTCTTTTTATCGCCTCCTGCAGCTGCAGCACTCAGTCAGGCAAAGGCACAATCAGTACAGAAATACCTTTTGGGGCAGCGTAATGCCAACCCAGGAAAAGCACTGAACCAAGTAATGGCTAGCTTTTAATGAAATTATTTAATTACATAACCATTATGAACTTCTGTAGCTGCATAATTGTATGATTAATCAAATCTAATGCCTTCAGTCAAAAAATGTTTATCGGCAAGGCTCAGGGAGAATTTTTCTATCTTCTGCAAGGTAGTACGACGGGCTTCAGAGCTTTCCTCTGAAGCATCAAGTACTGACCACTGCCGGAGGCCAGACTGACATGAGTCAGCGTGGCAGTTTCTATGGTGCAAATGAGGTTCCAAGGACAGAGGGAAAAGCGATGCCACAGTCTCGTTTTCCAAAGCACAGCCCAAGCATACATGCATTTCTCTGTCGCTGAGCATGAACCGAGTAGATTGAAATGTCAGTAATACGGAGCATTAAAGGGGAAAATGCAAAGACTCTCACATAGCTTTAATTTAGGAAATGCATTTCAAGGAAAGGAATAGTTTTGAAAGTTAATTGCTTTTTTGGTCCACTATAAGACAGCTAATAACAAAACTTGCTTCTGACCTAACTCATCAGCTTCCCATCTCTGGAGTAAATATTAGATGTCGGTATTTGTGAGTCCTTCTTCAAACAGCAGCATGATTTCAGTGATAGACAGAGTCATTCCCACAGATCCAGGCTCCTGATCCACAGAGGCAGAAATCTAACAAGGACACTTGCTGGGAGTCTACATGGGTCTGAAAATTTCCCATGGTGTGGCCAAACTAAACCCTGATGCCATTTCTTTTTCTCCAGCACTCTGGGATATGCCGCAGGCCAAGTTAAATAGATCCTTTCAAGCTTCTCTATCTGTCTGCACTGACAACTTTAATACCTGGCAAATTAGAAGCCGAAGCATCCATGGAATTGTCTGACATGAGTCAACAGAATGGAGAAACAAAAAGAAAGATACATAAAGAAGCAGTGAAGCAAAGTTGGGGATCTATTGCTCATGCCAGGGAAGAATTTACAGAGAACGCACGTGTGTATAGGAAGGGACAGTCACCAATGTCTAGGATACAGAAGAAGTTTCAACTCACACTTCCCTCTGGACAAAGAGGAAAAACTTAGATAGTGAAAGCAGCATGTGCTATGCTTTTGTTAAAGTTCTCAGCGTTACTAATTATTGAAGAATTTCTGCTCTGCCAGTCAACAGGTCTAAAAGCACAGCACCATTTGCTTTTATCTAGAATCCCTGCCTTTGTGTTTTAGAAGTCACAACACACCACACACTCGCAACCTTTCCAGAACTAGCAAAAATTTAATTTAAGATGCTGCCAGTGGTTTTGTCAGACAGATGGAATATCTGCAGCACGTGGGAAAACTGAAGCTTTTGACAGGTTCCAGATTCAGAGGCAGGATAACACAACTTCTGAAGCCATGGTAGCATAACCTAGCAAGATGTATTTACCCTTTCACAGCTGAAAAACTGGGTCTGCTTGGTATTACCATTCTGTCATATCAAACATCAACCTGCGCTGAAGCCTGCAGCGGTTCTTTGTGCTGCACCACCACAAAAGGACGACAGCGCACACAGGTGGTGCCTTGCATCTGCTACTTGTCCTGCTCGTGACTTTTGTCCTCCTGTCTCCAACTACTGTACCTGTCTCTTAACTCTCATTTTGTGTCCTGCAGCAGGAACCAACTTTGCTTGCTTTCTAAACCATCACACAACACAAATAAAATAAGTATGATGAACTATACAATTATCTGATGAATTGTTGATTAATCAGATTTGGTTTAGTATCATTAGAATGTAGCTTTATGATACTTTAAATACATCCAAAATAGACACAAAAAGTGCCTGAGCCCTGCTTGATTTTAAATTCTCCCAGGCACGCTCCTGAGTCATTCCAAATTGAGATGCTACGCTGCCATCATCAGCCTCTGAGTGAGGCTCGTCCCAAAGAGCTGCGTGTTAGAGGGTCCCTAAGCAAAGCAGCGAAACTCAAAAGCCATTCTCACATTGGGATCCTTTTGCAAACCAATCCTAATTCCTCAGATGGAAGAAACCAAGCTTAAGAGAACAGTATTTTTAAGGCAGCATATGACAGAAAGTACCTTTTTTTTTTTCTTCACAACGCTCGCTGTTCCTCAAGGTGACCTTGTGATACAAATCCTCTCTCCAGGGTTCTCCTACTCTTCAACACTGAGGTTGCTTCACATGATGCAAGTTGCTTCTCTCCCACCACTTTCATCACCTGTAATACGGGAAGACAGCAGAAAATGAAAGCCAGCTCCCTTTAATAGCATCAGTTACAGGCCAGCAGTTGTAGCATTGAAAAGTGCAGCCCTTCACTCGCGTACTGCTCAGTACTTTTAAAGGACTAGGGAACATGAGAGAGATTTTGCCCTACTCTGCACGACTGTGTTCAATAAGCACTCTTGCTTTCAGTATCATTTTAAATTAGAGTCCGTCATAGATTGTTCGTTATTTCATCCTTTATTACACTAAAGAAAAGTCATAGCCTTCAGTTCTGCTTTCAGAAAAGTCAAATTTTCACAGACCTGTGTCAGAACAATGAGAGAGAACGTTATTGTGTGTACAGGACAGGTGCATTTATAACCAAGATATATATATATAGTGTATTGAAATATGGTAAGCTAAAAAGACAGGGCAACAGGACTCCTGGATTTACTCCTAAATCCACTTTTAAAATGACAAGTTATTTGAAATGCCCAATTCAATTCCCTTATCCACTCTGTAAAACAGCAGCGCTTTCCTACAGGGTGCTTCAAAGGCAAACTGAAATGTGTTAAATATACTTTTTAATAATTTTGACTATTAATTACACACAGAGACAAAACCTTATGGAGGCAGGGGCAATACATTCTGCTGTTTGTTCTCAACAGGCGGAGAGCCGTTAGCAAGAGCAAAGAATCCATATTTTCTGACCACGAGCGTGAGGCTGTCAAATACCAGCCAGCAGTGCAGGCAGAAGAGGACACCATGGACTTCACACTGGAAGACTCCGTTCTCCTTCCTATGGATCCGACCCTGGAGTGCCACAGCCCACCCCCGGATTACAACTCCGTCATTCACTACTCAGCCCCTCCGGTGTAACCAGCCCCCACCGAGCCACGGCATCTTGCACCTCTCAGCCACACTAGATTCTCATGTGCCTCCACGCCTGGGGAAAAACAGAAGGAATTCTGACAGGACAACGGTTCGTGTGTTTCTTCTAGCACATCTCTGACAGGAATAGAAACATTTGAAGAGCATCTTCTTTGCTATCTTTAAAGGCCTATTGCGTCATGTGCAGAAAATTAAAATTCTAAGGGAATCGTAGTAGGAGCTGTAACCCAGGGCTGCTTCCATTCCTTCCTCCCCTACCTGCGGCTGTTCATGGGCATTTGCAGATCTACAAGTTCCTTCATCCACATTTTACTCCATAAGAATCACCAAGAGTCACATCAAACTAGTTGTGAAGACGAGGTTCATACTGCTGGCCCCGCACACAGCCTGCAGGGATTTAGGGCAGTGCTGTGAGGGAGCAGTTGGAAACAGCAGCCGTACACACCAACGCTCTGGTTTTGGCAAAAATCCAAGACGGAAACGTTATTCTTAACCTGGGATCTCGCCTTCTGTAGATATTTAGAAAATATTTTGAAATTCGAAACATTTTTGTTGCCATTTATGACTTAATAATTGCAACTGCTTATAGAATACCCTCCTAAAAACGATAAGGCACAGAGAAAGCTCATGTGAGATATTACTCATGTATCAAGAGGCAGGACGGTCTTTTGGGCCATCAGGGCATACAATGTGGTTAAATCTGTTTCCCTGGGGCTTCTCCTTGTTCAGACAGTAACTTATTTAGCACACATGCAATAGGGAACCTCGACGGAGATGTTGCAAGGCAACAATCACTGCCTGACACAGGAACCTTCTTAAGCTTCAACAGACAGAATTTCCCAGTGCGTATGCACCTTTGTGTGAATGCGCCCAAAATATGCATTAACAACACGAGAGTTACATATAAATGCACATACACTCTTGAGGCACCATCAGGGTTTTATGTTTCCTTTCTGCATACAGGCGATTTACTTAGAAAAAAAAAATTTTTTTTAAAATATCATTTCCTTTGGATTCTGTGGCAGATGCCCAGCAGTTGGATCCTGGGAATACTAACCCATGCTAAACCGTAAGCATATGTAACTCATATTTGACTGTCTTGCCAAGGTAAATATCAGTATGATATGCAATGCCATCTGTATCTAAGCCCTTCACAGACTCCTGGCAATTCAAAGCCTGAGCGTGCAGGACAACGGATCACAAATTCTCACATTTGAGAAATTCACAGTGTATTGCCTCCTGCCCAAAAGCTGCACATGGCAGGGACTGCAAATACCTGTCCCAGGTTCCCTGCGTAGCACATGCATATGTACAACTTCAAAAATAAGCAAATAGTCCTTGTCATGTAATGTGCTCTACAATTAGAGTTGACTTTAGAAGTCTAGGAATGGAGAATTACCGAGGGTGCAAGCAGAAAAGCAAGGATGACACAGATTTCATTGTCAGCCAAGGCTATAACCTCCCAAGTTATAATCTGTAAATGGCTCTGTGCAGTCTCTTCCGAGGTCTGCGCAACTCTTTCCTTTTCTTTAGACTTGGCACTGACTTGACTTCTTCAAAGAAAAAGTTTTTCTTTGTGATTACAAACTAAAGGAGAAAAAAGAAAAGTAATCCAACACTTGCAAAACAATTCCCTTTCACCTTGGCGAAGATAGCCTCGCAGCAGTCAAGAGAACATTTCTGGATGTCGGTTACAGTTGGTTCCATTGAAGCAAACACAAACAAGGCTCAGGTATTATCAAAAGGGGAAGCAAATCCGCAAACCCCAAACCACATAAACTGTGAATGCTAAAGCGTCTGAAGTCTGGGCTCTTGGGAACTGCACCTCTCCTTGACTTCAGACTCAACGTGTTAAGGAAATCACCGGCAGTAACTCTCAAGCCCCTTGCTCATAGTGGACCTGTAGTTGCTTTATTATGGTCATTTTTGCACTTCTTTGTATTTTAGTACCTATCTATTAAGTAGAGTTGGGCATACAACAGAAGAAACTACTGGGAAAGAATTCATTTGATGAGCCCCAGGAAGCTCATTGGATCAGCTTTTCTTTAAGGATTAATTAATTATCTATAGCTCTCATCAAATAATCCAGTGCCTCTTTTGGAAATAATTTATTCGCTTGCAAAAAAAAAAAAGTGCAGTCAGTTTGTCCAGCTCTACTATTAATGGCGTCAGTGTGAGACAGTTTGTTAATTGTGCCTTGTTCTGTAAGTTAAGAAAATAACAATGTTTAAAAACCTTTGCTTATAAACTTTAAAATAAGTACACATAGAGGAAAAACCAAACAAACCAACCTGCGAGCACGCTCTCTATTTTGAAAAAGAATGGGAAATGCTCCCATGTGAACTATCTGCTTCTAAGAGAGTTGAGTACATCATCTTTCCACTGTATCAGGGACAAACTGAAGCAGTTTCTCCGAGGCCAGAGGACCTGGGCACACGCTCACGGGGAGCGCTGGCAGTCACGGCCGGTGCTCGGCCACACGTCTCAGCCCTTCAGCAGCGCCCGACGTGAGAACAGAGCGCAGGCCCAAGGGCTCAGGACACGTTTTAAAGCACTGATTGCGTCGGCAGCCCCCCAAAACTGAGGGCTCCTCCACAGGGGCAAACCCCCCAGCAGCCGTCCCGAGCAGCGCGGTGGCCGTTTGTCCCGAGAGCACAGCCACCCCTGAGCCCGCGGCAACAGCCTTCGAGTGCTCTGCAAACGGCAAGGGACTGACGTTCGGGCAGCTGCGTTTCCATTTGAGCACAAGATTTTGTTCCTCCTTATAGTAAATGTAACAAGCAAAAGTATTGCCTGAAAAAGTATTATTGAACATACGTATTCTATTTTATTTACTAATATTTTGTTTGTCCTCTTCTCTCCTCCCTTAATTTAATTATTGTTCTTTTCTTACAACGATGTATATAGTTTACCCAGTAGAAACAGATATAGCGATTCATTTATATGGTAAAAATTTGTAACATTTTAGTTAAAAGAGAAAGAAATATCCAGGCATAACAGAGTTAAGTATTGTTACTAAACATTTCACTAATGCTTGCAGGCCAGGCTCCAGTTTACAGTACCCTACTAGTGGCATTTCACAGCAGTTCTCCTCTCGGTTGTGAGTATCTCTGGCTCTCACTTACTCTCCACGTTATTTAGTTTGAGTTAGGAAATAGGGATCTGGAGGAATCTGGCAGGTTCATCTCATTCCTGGAAGTGCCACCACGCGGCTCATGGTAAAGGCGAGGAATTTCCACTGCCTCCGATTTAACTGAACGCTGGTGTATCGGCTACAGGATCAGAAGGGCCAAACTGTTTCAATGATGCGATGCTTTATTATTTTCTCAGACTTCTCAGGGATTCTCACTCAGCTGCCTGCTTTATCTAACCTGACTGAGCTCAATGGCATCTGGTATTAACACAGACCTTAGTTTTCTTTAATGGTGCTTACTTCCTCTCTTGTAACCCCAGAGAGCCAGGGCAGAGGAACTCGGAGCTCACCGCGGAAATGTGTTGTCTTCTCCACAGCAATCTCGTGCCATACAGGTGTCCGAGGATAAGTGCCTTCACCTGCACATTATTGTCTGGGCTGGTGTTGTTAACAGCCTGCTTTCCCATCTCTTTTTTTCTTCACAGCCTCTTTGGACTGCTTTTCTCTGCCTTTTGAATACCATCAGGAACAGGACTCATTTCACTCTGCTGTTTCCTGTATATTCTGTGCTTACAGAGGCTGAACTAGATAATCTAAAGCAAGCTTCTTCGCATTAATTTTTTTTTCCAATACAGCCAAGGAAAACTAGCTTACATTGGTTTGTCTGAAAGCCTCTCTGTATCCTTCTGACAGTGACGGAAGCTTTTTAACCTATTGATTTTCCAATATTTGCTATGTGGAGCAAAACAACGGTCGGCGATTATGCGAATCTTGACTTTCTCCTAGTCCTTTGTCAAACAATGAGGCTTCTCTTAGGTTCTTCCAAGTTCTCCTCACAAGAAGGGGATCCTAACGAGGACACTGGGCCCACACCACCTCCTCATGTTATCCAGAAAGGTCAGAGAATAACCTAAAGCTGGAGTCATCCAAATTCTCTGAATGCCAGCGACCTAAATGTTTAGCACCAGTTGCTTGGCAAACACCTTGGGAAACACGTGCAGGGAAACATCACTAGCAAATAGCTACAGACCAACATAAAGCGTTACTGGGTTTTCCCGGACACAGGAGTTACCCAGGATCATCAGAATCGTACTCAGGGTTCAGCCCACAATTTTTTTCTTACCATAAAGCAAATGGAAAACACAGAAGGTAGCAATAAAGTCTTTTGGCCCTCTCTGACATGGTCAAACCCTGAGATCTATTCTCCTGGGTTTATAGCACACTACAAAAAAAAAAAAAAGAGCCAAATAATGACACCAGCACCACCTTACACAAGTAAAATCAGGGAGCACTTCAGGCTTTGACCCTATCAAGAATCATTCACTGGACAGGATGTGTGTGTTGAGCTCAAGCGCTGGCTTGTCTGTTTGTTCTCGTATTGTGTTAACATAGGGGAAGACCAAAAAAAAAACCACCCAAAACTTGTTGGACTGAGTCATTTGGGACCCCAAGCAAACTGGAGGCGCTAAGGTGTGGTGTGCACCGAGCAGCATCCCACCGCCCGGCCCGCCTAACCCTAACCCCGACGACAAGAGCCAGCACGTCCTTATCACTCAACTCTTCTTTCCTTAGGCCTTGAGTTGTCGAAGCAGCTAAGGAAAACTGGGAAAACCCAGAAAATCAATTAAGTGCCACCTGATACTCAAAACACTAAGGAATGTTTGTCTGCCATGTTCCTGTCTGTCTGAAGAATGTATGCACTGAAAACAACGCTTTCTTATGTAGTCACAAATTGTACTGTATATTAACCAAAAAAAAATAAAAAGATTCTATATTTATACAGCCCAGGGCTCCTTTGTGTCATCTCTTGGCTTGAAAAGCACTGTCCTTGAACCAGAATATAAATAAATAATGC